CCCCTCTCTTCCTCCCTCCCTGCATCTCCGGATGCAGTGAAATATACATCCTCCCTCAAGCATCTCATTTATTTATTCATTTATTGACTGCCCAGATCTTTGAACCCTTACTACTCTCTAGTAAGTAGAGATTTAGCCCAAGACATGGCGATAATCCGCGACAAGCGAAGACATAAGGCTGCTCTATCTCTTCCCATGATCAGATTTCCTCGACCAGATACAACCCTGGGACCACCATTTGTCGCTCGAGTAACACATGTTTTATGATACGTTCAAATGTGAATTCCCCGCGACGTTAAAAGAGGACGGGGAGCTGATAGATTCGCGTATTTGTTTACGACTGTGCAGCCTCGCGTTAATGACATTCTACGGGTTGCTAGGTAACACCGGTAAATGAAGGTTTGTATCACGCTCTAATTAATGGTCAGAAAATGAGCGAGCGCTAAGCGCGTCGATGCGCACACCTAGACAACAAGATCGGATGATTCAGGTGTGGTAAATCTAGCGTTCGCACTATATAATGGGCTTTTTATAGCACGAGGATTACGGTGGGAGTATGGTAGGGGTGCGGAAGCACTAGGCTGGCTCTAGCGTCGACTGTACATGATCTTTAGGGTAGATTAATACAACATTCAAATCAAATTATTCTATGCTATGTGTATGAGCTTTTATGGCATGGTGGTTACGGTAGGCCTACGGTAAGAGTACGGCATCACAGAGGCTGTTCTGGATCGGCTGCACTTAAAGCAGATTCTGATGAGATGCTATTTAGAACTTTCTGAATAAGCGTATTCTTTACTACGTATATAATGAGCTTTTATGGCATGGTGGTTACGATAGGTGCACGGTAAGGGTACGGTACCACTACGGTGGCTGTTCCGCTGTCGACTGTACTTAGCCTTCGAAAAAATCCTCATACGTGCTATACCCAACTTTCAGATTACCCTATTCTTTCTGCAATGTGCTTTTATGGCATGGTGGCTACGGTAGGTCTACGGTAAGGGCACTTCCGGCGTCAGCTGTACTTAACCTTTAGAGCAGATTATGGCGTGTTTTACTCACTTTCAGATCACTGTGTTTTTGCGATGTATAGAATGCGCTTTTATGGCATAGGATTACGGTAAATGCACGGTAAGGATACGGTAGCACTACGGCAGCACTGCGTTAGCAATGCGATCCCCCAACTGACCTGGTCAAGAAGTCCACCGAAAAGTCCGAGATGATTGGCCGGGTAGGAGGCAAAGATGCCAGCTGTAGATTTCGGACCCACAACAGCTCTGATGCCGCCGTCGAACTGATTGATGGCCTCTGCAATGGAAGAGAACTACGCTATATGAAACAGAGTGCTATAGGGGCACGGCTGTTACTAGCGACCTACCGTGATAGAGAGCATACGATACAGCAGCTCCGACAAAAGCTCCGGCGGTTTGAGCCAGAGTGTAGAGGATGAAACGAGCTGGGGAAAGCTGACGGAATGTCATAAACATAAGAGACACGGCGGGGTTGATGTGACCTCCTGCAAAAATGTTTAGCATTATTGGGAAAATCGATCTGACTCTGCCCGACTAGTAAAGATTCAAAATTTTAAGAATTTCTGAAGTGAATTAAAATCTCAAATTTCCTACA